ATACAAGACCATCCGATGATTTACGTTTGCAATATGTGCATGGTGTTGAAAGAGTTGAAACGTGTGACCAATAATGTTGATCGTGCATATCGACATTGTCTGCTATGTTATCATCTACGAATGACGGTCGACATGGTGGAATTTTATGATGATCAGTCGTTGTAGATTCTTCTAATTCAGAAAGATGAGTAGCATGTACGATTAATAAACAAGTTGCGCATTGAATAAGAGGGAAATCGGAAGTTGATTTACGGTTTTTACACGAAATATAAGCACACAAACGCGAAGTAGAAGATGTTTCGCAAGAGTAATGAAACCAACAATGTGATGTAGGTTCAGCACTGTTACTCCAATCGACACCATTGACGAATGATTCAGATGCTTCTTGCATTAACGGTGGATTACTATAAAATCGAATACGTTATTTCATATGACAGGAAATTTTTTCTATAGTGAAAGTTAAAAGAAAGATATTTTTATGTTCTCATTAAAAAATATACTTCTTCGTTGTTCAAAAATCTATTCATCCAACTATCGATACTCAGATTGTTTTAATGTTGATTTTGTATTTTCTAATTCATAATGAAACTCTAATACTTACTCAGAACACGCATGAATAGATATTAGAATAAAAGGAAAACCGGTAAGTATGAGCACAGGTGAGAAAGTGAGTTAGAATCGACATGCACTGTATTACTCTCATCCCTCACTTTTAGAAATCAAATATGAGTATTCATTCTCTGTAAAAGTAAATGAAAACAACAATATAATCATCTTTTGGCAAAATACTATTCCGTGGAAAAATTTTAACAAAACTACATAACATTCTGCAAAAATCATGTCATTTATTTTACGACAAATCGAGTTTTTCTCAATTACTCCAGAAACACTACCTATATTAACTGTATAAGAAATTCATCATTGTGAAATAGACCTGTCTATTGTAACTGAAAATTTCAAATAAACATTTCTTTTAATTGTTTTTATTATAAGTGTCTACTTGATATAATATATCACTCCTAGTATCTTTCTTATTTGATCTTAGGTATTTTTAATGCTCTCGTTTGTTTCTGTAAAAACCTTCACTGTAATACTTATCAAACCACGAAAATATTAGATACAGCAATACTGAGCAAAATTTCTAACGTTTTGAGTAGAAATAGAAGCAAAGAACAAACTTTGTATTAATGTATGCAAACAAAATTACGAAAGAAGGAAGTGATGACAAATAGAAGATCCGATCTTTCGATATGTCAAGATTATTTGAATAAAGTCTTTAAAGTTTTTGTTTTTATATGGAGAGTAGATGACGACGATGAATAAAATCGACTGACTTCATATTTGTTAAGAACGACAAATAGTTATACACATTGCCAATGCAATCAAAACATAAAATACATGTTAGTATAATGCACGTGGTTAGTAATCATATGAGAAAAGAAAATATTGAGGTAGTGATGCATAGTAAATATAATTGACGAAGAACGGAATAAAGAGGAAAGGCAAGATACGAAGAAATTATACATATAATGATAGACAGGACGCGCAAATAACAGAGTACTCACTTCACATCAATATTAGGATTACTGGCGGATAGTCATTATTAAAACTTGCAGCCTGATCAGTTTTTACTTTTGTGTAAAAGGAATCATATTTTTTCAATTAAAATATTTGGCTTGTATCCTGTTATTTATGAATTGTAATATAAAGCTGAATGACATATGATCAAAGAATTGACTAATTTTTGTATAAATAATATGTTTAAACATAAAAGAGCAATAAAAAATAATTATTTATGAATAATTTTTGATTTTTTTGTACTTTCAAAAAGAACTATACACACTGTTAAAAATATGATATTTTTTTGTCTACTACAAATACCAAGCTGTTTAAAAGTATATTTGCTTACTGTTCTCATAGTAACCAAGGATGGTAGTAGAAATCGTACGATTATTTTTTTTAAATAGATCAATTCAGTATGGAACCTATTTTTGTCTCTTTATCAAATGCTAATCTATATTTATTGAGGGTGTGAACATCCATCAAATAGCAAATATTAGTACAAATAATGCAATATGAAAAAATTAAAGAATTAATACAAAATACTAAGAATCTACTTGAAAGTAGATCGAACACTAGTAGATTGTGAACAATTATCACAATTGTTAGAGGTGTCATACACCTTCAGCTAAACCTTCGATTCTCTTCTCTCTTTCTCTCTAAATATATATGTGTGTATGCGTTTATATAATAAATAAAACGTATTCGCTTGTAATATGAGCTATCGATAGGAGATAAAGAGGTGACAATAGAAGAAAGAAAAAGAGAAAAATAAAAAAAAGCACGTGTAGATGATATTACGCACTATTGCTACCTGCTGGAGTTTTGTTATTACGATCTTAGTTGAATATCGATCAATTATCTGTGATGAATATTAACTTCAACATTTACTGGAGTTGTTTAATATTAATTTCTCAAAATAAGTGTGTATTAGATAAACGTGTTGCCGAAATTATAAATAAATTTATCAATTCCGATCAACGTGACTGTCAAGATGCAGTCACAATAGATTTGCTCAATGATTTAAAATAGAAAAAATTATTGTTTCATAGACAATTCGATATACTCTACAATCTAGACATATCAAAACAAAAACATCGTAAAGAAAAATATTTTCTGATATAGAAACTCGATTTTCTTGGCTCTTTCATATAGTGGTTTAAAGAAATGTCTCATATCTATATTTGGCATTAGCATGGTCGGTAATTTCTAACTCAATAGGCTTTATTAGAAAAGCGATTTCACAACTGAGAAATACCATTGTCAGTTTATTTTATGTTATAGGAAGGTTTGATTTATGGATTAATGAAAGGACGAAAAGAAAAATCCAACGTCTGTAGGAAGAACATTACGTCATTTTCGTATTTTACATGTACGACAATAAGATATATGTTACTTCTATTTTGTTATAGAAAGAATATAAAACGATTTATTGATAAACTGATTTACTTCTCATTCTGCGACTATGTTGGAACTAACTAGGTGCAATCAACGCAATATGTGTCATGTAAAGAAAAAGGAATAATTCATATTTTATACTGAAGGGTGTTATAAGTTAATGCGTAATAGTATAAGGTTGAGAAATATTAGTCATATAAGTACAAAAGAACGAATAACAAAGCATGTTTTTTTAAGCGTACTGGTTAAAACTGTAGCGCTTGGAATTTCCTACTTCCGTGTATAAAAATATGATTCATGGAAAAAGATGCCGGAAAAAACCTACTAAAACAATGTTAAAAGAAGGTGCAAATATGAGATTTGTTTCACTTGTTTGTTGTTTCTTTTTTTTGTATTTTTTATTCGTTTTCAACAATCGAAATAGAACCACCCAGGTAAGAAAAATAAAACATAGGATATAGAACTATCAGAATGTTTATAATAGTACATTATTTAGTGATGATTAGAAAAAAAGCTTATGAATTTTATAAGCTTTTTTTCTTTTTATTCCCATCACTTTCATGACACGTGCGTACGTTGATATTAAAAGATCTTTAGTACATTTATATCCACATTTGATCATTTTACGAAATAATTGTAGGTAATATCCAATATATCTACTGATATACATATGGGTATATTCCCTCTAACGATGTTGGAATATTCCTTGGGTTCTTTCATCACATATACATATGGTTTTTACCTTTTCTCTCATATATGTATTGGATTATACCTTATCGTGATCGTATATATAGGTATACGCACACATGCGTATATGCGTTGTATTCTTCCCGTTCTCTTCATCGCTTGTCCTTGTTCGTGTTGTTCTACAATAAACATTGAAGCCCCGGTTCTACACAAACTTACAGTAGTACAATGAAGAATATGATTTTTTTTATTATTTAAAACATTTTAATGATGTTTTTAGGTCCCAGATTCTTGAATCTTTGTACCACTCATTCATTGTATTATTGTTCCTAAGATGTTTTTTTGCTTGTAGATATCTGTTTACAAATTTCGTCTTCAAATATTCAAACGGATCTAGAATGCTCAAGTGCATTTCTCAATACTTGTCATCGACTACATCTAATAGTCTCAAGCATAGTCAACCTATTAACATTAATCTTTGTCGCTCAATGTTTACTTTTAATCATCGTTATGCCTCAACTAATGTTTCGAAGAGCTCGAGTATTATAATTAAACCGTGTAATACGCATGAAGAATTGGATGAATGTGTTGCACTTCAAAAATTAGTGTGGAAACAAAGTAGTCTGGATATAATGCCTCGTCGTTCGTTTCTCATCGCCAATAAAACAGGTGGAATTGTTTTAGGTGTTTACAATAATCATGAGAATTCGCGTGTTCTGCTTGGTTTCGTATTATCACTTGCAGGTATTCTGCCTGGAAAGAGTGGAGGTATATTTTGGCACGCCGAAATGTCGGGAATTCACCCAGATGTACGCAATCAACATATTGGTCAACAGTTGTTTTGTAAACTACGTGATTACGCATTATCCAGAAATATAAAGTTAATAAAATATAATTTTGATCCAACGGAAATACGAAATGCACATATCTACATTAATCGTACGGGAAGTATCGGACGACAATATTCATCTAATCATTATGGCTTGTTCTCACCTTCACGAGATCCAGTTCCATTTGCTGGTCGACTTCACATGGAATGCTGGCTTGATTCTCCACATACACATCGATGTCTCGGCTTGGATACATCAAATATTAATAGATATGGCACTTACAAACCAAAGATTATTAAAGAAGTTTCACTTCCAGCTGAAATGGGACAATGGAAAAGCACGAAAGATAAACGTGCTATTGATGCTTATCAAAAACTTGATAAACATCTATCAGAAGCTTCTGATCAAAATCTCAGTGTCGTGGGGTTTCGTAAAGAACGTGATGGTACCTCAGTTTATGAGCTTGGAAATTTTAATTTAAATGATATTTTGCGTTGCAATTCGTTCTCAAACAATCTTTCGTATGTGAAAAAGTTTAAAAACAATTTTCGCTCAATGCTGACATGAACTAAACCAGAGTATATAATTATTTATGAAAAAAGATCTGATACATACAGAGTAAATCGCTATTCAGATTAATATTTTAAATATGTAAATGTTTTTTTGTTTAATAAGTAATTAACTGTTATTTATTTTTATTCTTTTTTTTAAGTGGGTTCGGGATCAAGTTGTTTTTAATATTTTATCTTTTATTTAATAATTAATCAAGCTATCGAGTCATATTTTAAATTTTATTTCATAAAAAAAATTTTTAATATTCTAAAGAGATTATTAAAAAGTATCATATGAAAAAACTTCCTAGAAGAATATTTGAAACCTATTATATTTCTCATAATAAACGATAATAACTGATAACTTTAATTAAATCTCTTCCTAGACTAATATTTCATGCATCATAGAAAAGAGGTGTGGGTGTAGATGTATAATTAATACAATATCCACACTCACACCCACCCTTTATATATAGCAATATAGAATTATTTGCTGAATACTATCTAAAATCGAATGTGAGCGTATACGAGGGTTTGAATGAGTAAGAATATTGTTGTGATTGAATGGATATAAAGGTAAAGAGAAGAGCTGCCAACTCACTTATCAGCACCTGAACTCATCTACACTAACAATCTGTTGAGTTTTATTCTAAACTCGCGGTAAGATAGTTCTTGTGACTTTATATCATAAAGAATATTTAAGCGATTTAAAAAATCTTTTAGCATGGAGAAAAGATGTTATGGTATCTACTTAAACATCCTCTTCCTCACAAATACAATAGACTTAAAATCAACTGACGAATAATATTTTCGTGGACATGAGGTCTAACAAGTTTAACTCGTTAATTGATGGAAAATAGACGCAAGTGAACAAATTTTATTTAAAACCATGTCTTTAATGAAATAGTTTTTTGGATTGATTCATATTTTGAAATAATATATATATATATATATATATGCTCGCGTCTATTGTGTGTTTAATGCCATTTAGTAGAGACTGATTCATTTCATCATAAAAAGAAAAAATGGCATATAGATTACTATGTTAGATGAGAGTCGATAGAAAAAAAGTGTTCTGTCTAAACAATCAAACGACATTCGTCTCTTTCTCTTTTCTCTCGCAGTAACATTTTCAACAGCCAGTTTCGTCACTTGTAAAAAAGACCCCGCATATGCCGTTTCAAATATGTTGACATAGCGATTTTTCTTTCTGTGATAAAAATATTTTACAATGAGTATTTTTCATATAGCACATTTCTTTTCTTTTTGAAACTCTCTTTATATGGTGAATATTTTTTATTTATACGAGTGTGTATTTTTTAGCGATTTTTCTATTGTATTTCTCTTGGAAGCGTGAAGCGGTTTTATACTTTAGTTCTTAATTTCAGATGAACTGCAACTTGCATTTTATCAAGTGTTGCCTTTTCGTTTTATTCTTTCACCTAAAGTTTCTTAAAAATAATCATGAACAATCAAATACTTCGCGACTGAACGCTTTCACTTATATTCTTAGCGATTCATCGATATATATCCACACTCCACTTTTGTCTTTGGCAGAATCTCAGATCTATCTACTTTCAGGCTCATAATGAATGTGGATACAATGCAACCAATATCGCACCACACCCTCATCCACACCCTTACACGCGCACCGTCTTCGTGGTTTATTTAATAATGTTTTGTAAGCATACAGTGAGGAATAAGCATGGTTAGTTAACCCTTAAAAGCCGTATGTCCATTCCAGTGGACACCGGAAAATTCGAATAAAATATGCAATATAATGCACTAATAATATTTTTTTTATTTTCTTCGATTCATATGATTTAGTAGATCATAAAAAAAGAGTATAAATAAATTCAAAAATTTATAAGAGGAAAAAATGTATTTTCTAAGACCGATTTTTTTTATAAATCAATTTTCTGTTTTGAAACGTTTCTGTATTGATGAATGTTAGAACGAAATCTATTTTTTCAAGTGGTATCTCATGATATATCATTACTCTATCACATAAAATCATTCAATGATATTTTGATTGATCTATTGATGAATCACGATGGCATCAAGAGAATGTCCATTGAGATGGACATTCGGTCATAACGACCCAAACTATTTAACATTCAAAACGTTTCTAAATTATTATTCGATCGATTTTTTGGTGATTTTTGCCCTCAATAAGGCCTGATAGGAACAAAAAACCATAGGAGAATGTATCTTTCCTCTATAATCGTCGAAAATATTCGATTTTTGCTGATTTCTATATCGTTTACGGTAGAGATATCAATCCAGTTCTCACTCTAAATCTTCCTCGATCCTCCTTGCTCCATTTTTCTCAATAATTTAGCAACCACTTCGTCTACGAATCAAATCTACTCGCTCAAATAGAGAGGGATCATCTTCTCGCAGCTAATATTGACCCTATGACCCTCAAATCCACCCACGGACCAGCATTCTAATGAATGGGAAAATTCGTAAATACTGAAACCCTGTAAAATATTGCGTTATTTGACTGTTTGTGTCTCGAGAAATAAAGATATAAAAATATTTTGTGGAAAATAACTTTCAAAAATATCAATACATGTAAAACACTTTGGTCCGTTAAGACCGAATGTCCATTCTAATGGACATTTTATATTTCCATAAAAAAAAAATTTTTTTCTTTTACTATTGATTATTCTTATTGAGGTACTAGACTTTTTATTTTTGCAAAAATTTTGTTCAATTTGCATCGATAAGGCCTTCCGGCTTTTAAGGGTTAATGTCACAATTATTGTCTCTATTTTCGTTTACAGCAAACGATAACTCGAATGCATTTGAATTTCTTCGTACTCGTCTTTTACCATATCTATTGAAGGCATTTCTTCGTATACTAGTAGTCACACAACGGTTCTTTCTAGGTGTGAACTTTGCTTTCATTAGAAATTTAGTAGAAGAAGACGAATGTGGAGAAAGATTTGAGTTGGTATAATATCTTAATTATTTTTGCCTTTTAGATACAAACGGTTAATTTAAACACATCTCAACAAAAAATACAACAATAATTGATACTTATGTCGGAAAATCGTTTTGTAAATCGCACTCTCGCAGAGCTTCAAGAAGTCAATCGCAATCCAATATTTGGTTATGAAGATTCACCCATTCTAACATTAGAAGAATCTGTAGAAAATCTAACGCGGTTCGTTCCCGATGTCTTAGCTTATGTTATGACAGCGAAAAGGAAATATAATCGACATTCAGGTTTATTAACGCACGATGAATCAGCAGCAATATATCTTTACTCGATGCCATCATCTTTTTTTTCTTCTCTTAACAACATACTTCGAGCTGAAAATCGACATGCACTTAAGCCATGGTTTTCTTACTTAAAATTGTTGATGACAGCTCTCAAGAAATTACCATCAACTAAGGCAGTTGTCTGGAGAGGCGTTTACGGTGATGTCAGTTCAATATTTGCTAACAATAATATCGATATATGGTGGAGTGTAAATTCAACTTCGATGGATCTGAAAGTTGTTGAACCATTTCTAGGCGAACGAAGCACTTTGTTCGCTATTGAAGCTATATATGGCAAAGATATCTCCCAATTTTCAGCAATTCCAGAAGAGAAAGAAGTTATTCTGATGCCTGGAACTTGTGTGCGAGCCAGGGCCGAACCACTCAATGTCGATAATCGTTTCTTCGTTGTCCACCTGGATGAAGTAACTCTTCAAAGGTTAGTCTATTTGAGAAGATAAATAAAATCTATCATATTCATTCACCAATGAGAATGTGTTTGATGTGATCATCCTATAAAAATTGTCTATTCTATAGGTATAATGGTGTACAATGCAGCTCACACTGTCTCACATTTTATTTTGTCCGATAAATAATTTAATATCGGAACTTAAATATTGATAAGATGTACATATCATAGAAAAAACAAACAAAAGCTGATAGTAACGCGTGCATATAAGTTTGTAAATCAGAATATAGTTTCAACTAAAACTTTTACAATTCACATACTAACTAGAGCAGTCATCCTATTCCGCAATGTTGAACATTTCAGGAACCAGTTCCGCTCCGGAATCGATTCCGTTCAATTCCGGGAACTCGATCGACACATAATATCCGATACCCACTCGAAAATTGATCGAGTTCCGTCCAATTCCGGAATTGGTAGGAATTCCGTATAATTCCGGAATTGGTAGGA